ATCTGCCTTCGGCTCAGGTCATGATCCCAGGGTCTTGGGATCCCAGGCCCCCCCATCGGGCTCCCTGCTCAGCAGGGAGTCTGCTTCTCCCTCTCCCACTCCCCCTGCTTGTGTTCCCTCTCTCGCTGTCTCTGTCAAATAAATAAATAAAATCTTAAAAAAAAAAAAAAACCCTCCAAAGCGCTTGAGGGTTTGTCCAGGGTGGTGGTTCCCAGCTCCCACTTTGCATAGCTTTGTTCTTTGTCCTTCTACTACCTGGAAATGAAATTCCTAGAGAATATGCCCACCTACACTCAAAAAACATATTATTAGTCTGAGCAGTAAGATAGAGAAAAGGAAAGTAATTTAGTACAAAATATTACTTTAAATGTGACTAAATAGGCAAGCCTATGCTAGGTGACACGCGCACAATACAGTTGTCTGATAATTACATCTACTTAGAGCAAATATAATAAAAAGAGATTGGAACCCATTCCCTACAAGAAGTTCAGGAAAATAAAAAGGTAAGAAAATAAAAATTAAAAAAGGTAGAAGGGCAACGAGGATCAATACTCTCTTTTGTGGGGCACCTGGCTGGCTCAGTCGGTGGAGCGTGAGAATCTTGACCTTGGGGTCATGCGTTCAAGCAGCACGTTGGGAGTTGGGAGTAGAGCTTACTTAAAAAAAAGTTCTCTTCTGGGGCACTTGGGTGGCTCAGTCTGTTAAGCATCTGCCTTCTGCTCAGGTCATGATCCCAGGGTCCTGGGATCGAGTCCCGCATCCGCATCAGGCTTCCTGCTCAGGGGGGAGTCTGCTTCTCCCTCTCCCCCTGCCACTTCCCCTGCTTGTGCTCTCTCTCATCTTTTTTAAAAAATTCTCTTTTGTGCCTGAAGAAAGACTCAGATATCAATGAATTGCAAAGAGTACACTCACAGAACACTTACGGAAATTTGAATAGTGCCTGAATACTTCATGATACTAATATATTGTTGAGATTTGGTTTGCAGCTTGTGTGTGTGTGATAACAGTCTGTGGTCATGTTTTTTAAATTATTATATTATCATATTATCATATACAGTTATTAATATATTACTATAGTATTAAAATTAATTTTTATTTTAATTCCAGTATAGTTAGCATACAGTTAGTATGTTAACATATTAGTTTCAGGTGTACAAAAGAGTGATTCAGCACTTCCATACACCCCCAGTGCTCATCAACAAGTGCTCTCCTTAATCCCCATCACCTGTTTCACCCATCCCCCACCCACCTCCGCTCTGGTTACCATCTGTTTGTTCTCTATACTTAAGAGTCTATTTCTTGGGGCCCCTGGGTGGCTCAGTCAGTTAAGCATCTGCCTTCAGCTCAGGTCATGATCCTGGGGCCCTGGGATCGAGTCCCGCAACGGGCCCGCTGCTCAGCAGGGGATCTGCTTTTTCCCCCGCTCCCCTTGCTCCTGCTCTCTTTCTCTCTCAAATAAATAAATAAAATCTTTTTTTAAAAAAGAGTCTATTCCTTGGTTTGTCTCTTTTTGTTTCCTTTGTTTTGTTTCTTAAACTCGACATATGAGTGAAATCTTATGGTATTTGTCTTTCTCTGATTTCTTTCTTTTTTTTTTTTAAAGATTTTATTTATTTATTTGAGAGAGAGAATGAGAGACAGAGAGCACGAGAGGGAAGAGGGTCAGAGGGAGAAGCAGACTCCCTGCTGAGCAGGGAGCCCGATGTGGGACTCGATCCCGGGACTCCAGGATCATGACCTGAGCCGAAGGCAGTCGCTTAACCAACTGAGCCACCCAGGCGCCCTCTCTGATTTATTTCGTTTAGCATTATACTCTCTAGCTCCATCCATGTTGTGGCAAATGGCAAGATTTCATTCTTTTTTATGCCTGAATAATATTCCATCGTATATACACACCACATCTTCTTTGTCCGTTCATCAATAGGTGGACATTTGGGCTGCTTCCACAGTTTGGCTATTGTAAATAATGCTGCTTTGTGTGGTCATGTTTTTAAGAAGAAATCTTCTGAGATACACACTGGAATGTTTACAGCTGAAATGGTTATGACAGCTGGGATTGGTGTCAAGATAATTCGGGGGTGGGAGGAGAGGGTGGGGTAGAGGTGAAACAGTCAACCATGTTGTTGATAATCACTGACGGTAAGGGGGTGTGGACCTGAGGAACTTTTGTTCTGTTGGGTCTACTTTTTCATATATTTGAAATTTCTCGTAACAAAAGCTACAAAACAGAAAGATTGTGGTAAAGGTAAATGCTTTGATATGAAAAGATGCCCCAAATTTACTTTGTTAAGAATGATGTAAATTAGGACATATGGATTATGTAAATAATACTAATTTGTAAAACAACAGCTGTGTGAAGCTTTTTTTTTTTTTAAGATTTTATTTATTTATTTATTTGACAGAGAGAGAGCAGAAGCAGGGGGAGCGGGAGAGGGAGAAGCAGGCTCCCTGCTGAACAGGGAGCCTGATGCGGGGCTTGATTCCAGGATCCTGGGATCATGACCTGAGCCGAAGGCAGACGTTTAACCAACTGAGCCACCCAGGTGCCCCTGTGTGAAGCTTTAGGACAAAGTGTTCCAGTCTGAAAGCAATAATTGTTGTTTTTAATGTAAACTCTAAGCCCAACATGGGGCTTGAACTCACGTCCCGGAGATTGAGAGTCACATGCTCCACCAACTGAGCCAGCCAGACCGCCCCAGTCTGAAAACTATCAACATCAACTTCATCACTGAACATGTATCACTACGACTGATTTTTCTGTCATACTGTATTAGCGAGGACCTCCAGTACAATTTGGAAGGGCAGCAATTTCATTTTTTTTTTAAAGATTTTATTTATTTATTTGAGAGAGCGAGAATGAGAGAGAGAGAGAGAGCACATGAGAGGGGGGAGGGTCAGAGGGAGAAGCAGACTCCCTGCTTAGCAGGGAGCCCGATGTGGGACTCGATCCCGGGACTCCAGGATCACGACCCGAGCCGAAGGCAGCTGCCCAACCAACTGAGCCACCCAGGCGCCCTGCAATTTCAGTTTTCTTAAAAAATAATAATAAAATAAATTTTTAAAAGTTGAGTTGTTTTCTTAGTATGGAGTTTTGAGAGGCCTTTATGCATTCTGGATATCAATCCTTGATAAACTTTGTGAGTTGTAAATCTTTACTTCCTGTCCATGGTTTGTTTCTTCATTCTTTTAAAGAGCAGAAGCTCTTAATTTTGGTGAATTCCAAACGTATCAAATTTCTTCTTTTATGGATTCTCCTTTTGGTGTCAGAGCTAAGAAATCTTTGCAAAACTCAAGGTCATAAATGATTTCTCCCACAGTTTCTTCAAGATGCTTTAGAGTTTTAGGTTTTACATTTAGGCATATGATCCATTTTTATTCAAACCAGCTGCCTCTTTCCACCTCCCTGTGTCCTGAAGGGTTACTAAGTTCCTCTTAGGTCTGGTCCTGCCCTGGTCCTACTAAGACCTGGGGACTGGCCCCAGGTGGGCCACACCAGGGCAGAGGCAGGAGGTCATGGCAGGGATAGAGGCCCACAGGGCTCCTGTTCTCCCTCTCCCCTTAATCACTCTGGGCACTGAATCAGGTCAGGGGTGACAGCAAACGGAACTCTAAGACCAGGAAAGAGCCTGACCTTGGCTTAGCACCAGGACCCTGGCCACGCCTGACGGAGGCTGAGTCATGACACTCTGCCCTAAGGCAGGGTGTTGGCATCAGGGCTCAGAGTGACTTCTCTGCCTGCCCTCCCTCCTGGCCTCCAAGTCAGTGGAGGATTCTGGTGAAGATGCAACGTCTTGTCCCAAGGCCTGGAGCAAGAAAGCCCAAGCACAGGATGCTGAGAACAGAGGGGGCAGAGAGAGAGGAAGGGAAGGATGTAATGGGACAAGGAGGGAAGCAAAAGAGGGCCAAGGAGCCGGGGGGTGGGGGAAGGGAGGGGAGTGAGGCTCAAAGGGATAAAGGAATAGAGGAGACAAAGAAGGACATAGGGACACAGAAGAGCAGCGGCCAAATGCCAGTGGATGTCGCCCTGAGGCTGCGTGTGTCAAAGGGTCGAAGGTCCTAATGTGAGTGTGCTCGTGTGTGTGTGTGTGTGTGTGTGTGTGTGCGCCCACCCGTGGTTGAGTCTGTTTGTATCTGTGTTTCTCTGGGTGTTTCTGTGGTTCTGAATGTGTATCTCAGGGTCTACACCTGTGACTGTGGTCAAGGATCCCAAGGCATGCAGCTCATGATTATTTGCTGGTCCGTGTTTGTGTTAGTGTGTGTGATCTGTGTGCCTACACGGATGGGGGCATGTGGCTAGGGTCTCAGTGGGCTCTGTCTTCCACTCTGGCTGAAGGGCTGCTAACTTCCTCCTGGACAGATAGTACCTGGCCCTCTGTCTGCTGCGTCTGCGGTGATTTGCTGCCTCCCCACCGCGCCCCCCCCCTCCCCGCTCCAAACTCTCTCTCTCTCTCTCTCTCTCTCACACACACACACACACACACACACACACACACACAGCACAGCACAGCCCTGGATGAAATAGGAGACTGGAAATCTGGGGAGTTGGGTGGGTCCCTGAAGTCGTGCCTCGGTCTCCTGGGATGTAAATGGAGAGGGGAACCCCCGGTCGCCCTTTGGCTCCCCTTCGACCTTTCTCTTCCCTCGGACGCTCTCAACGTCGCTTTCTCCGTCGTTGGGCTTCCGCTGACTTCTCCTGCCATCTTGTCCACCAATGTCTTTTCCTCTCCTCGCCTTCACTTCTGTCCCTCTGCCGGAGGATCCACGCAGCCCCTGCAGGGCCCCCCCCAGGTCGCGCCGTCCCTAGTTCCCCGTAGCCCTCTACCGAGCCAAGATCGCTTCCCCTCTGCGGATCGCGGACTGGCTGGGGCGGGTGAGGGAGGGGGGTCCGCGCCCCACCGTCTCCTCTGCGCCCCCGCCCCGCCCCTGGACACGGAGACAGACACTCGTGGGTGCATTTTTAAAGGTTTATTTTTCCAGGCTGCGGGGGGGAGGGGGGGAGGGGGGGAGGGGGGCGAGCGAGCGGCTCAGTAGACGCCGGACGGGGCGGGCTCCGCGGGCTCGGGCGCCCCCGCCAGCTGCACCAGCCGCAGCAGCAAGGCGCCGGTCGGCCCGTCCAACTGGGTCGCGTTGCTCCGGTCGCTGGCGCTGGCGCGGGCGCGGCGGTGGAAGCCGGAGCCCCCCCGGCACTCGGGCTCGGTCACGCAGCTCTCTGCGGGCGGAGGGGAGGGGGGGAGGGCACGGGGTGAGCGCGGCGCGGGTGGGACCCAGATCGGCCAGGCCTGCGGGGACCCCGGGGGCCGCCCCCGCCCGGCCCCCCGGCCCGGTCCCCGGCCCCCGGCTCACCCGGGCTGCAGCAGATGCCGGCGGCGGCGCAGCGGCCCCCGCTCCCGCACGGCTGGTGGCCGGACTGGCAGGGCGACGGCAGGTAGTTCTCCTCCTGGCAGCGCAGCGCCTCGGCGGTGCCCACGAAGCAGCCCAGCTCGTCGCCGCAGCAGATGCTGGGCCCGAAGCAGCGCCCTTTGCCCCCGGGGCCGCAGGGGAGACACTGGCGGGAGGGCGGGGGGTGAGCGCGGGCCGAGCGAGGCCGGGGGTCGCGGTCGCGGGAGGGGGCGCACGCCCATTAGAGTCCTCGGGTCTTCAGGTGACTGAGGACCGGCTCTCGGTGACAGCCCTCGGCACCCTCCCCCTTCGTTCGCTCCGCACCGGGCTGCGCCGAGGAGACCCTCCCTCTCAGCTCTGGGGCCATCAGAGGTGTGCGCGCCCCTCTCAGCCGCCCACCCTTCCCCTAAGGCAGACCTTCCTCCCCTGTCCCCAGGACTCAAACTTGATCTCTAGAACGCACGCCCCCGGCAGACAGGGCTCTGCCCCGCCCAGGACACTTCCAGGCCCCTCCTCCCGTTTCCTGGCCCGATTGGACAAGCTGGTGGGCCTCTGGGGGCCCGGACCTGGGCTCACCGTCCAGGCACTAACTGTGGGTGGCAGGAGCCTGAGCCCCAGGGAAGGGCACGGGGCACCTCGCTGACTCAGGTGTCGGAAGGTGCCAAACAGAGGGAAGGGTAGTCTGTGGGGGCTGCCCACAGACCCACTCGAGTTTGTTCAATAGCCGGGAATTGAGCCCCCTGCGGCCTGGGAGGGTTTGAGCATGGGGAAGGGAATTGACTGGACAAGCAGGCGGGAGAATTGGGCTAGGTTCCCAGCATAACTGCCTTGCAGGAGGTGGCACTCTCACTCGAAGGAGCTCAGAGCAATGGGCCGCTTCTGCGTGGGGCCCCGGGGAGCTGTGGCTAGGAGAGGGTGACGGCTGGATGGGGAAGGCCTCCCATGCTGGCTATGACACAGCCCGTTGCGGCTGTGAGACTCCGATGGGCACAGAGGAGGCCCTGCTATCCAGTTCTCCCTGATCGGCCCCAAGCCCCATTACTGGAGAAACACGGGTTTCCCTGCGTCCCTTGCCTGGATGGGGATAGTGTCCCGGCAGTCCTGCAGCCCGTCCTAGCCTGCCTGACAGCCTGTCCCCCGCCACCCCTGCCCAGCCTTGCCAAGCCTCCCTGCTGCTTCCCCTAAAGCCGGGCCTCTTCCACAACTTCCCTCCTTCCCGGCCCCGGCAGGGCAGCGCGGGCCCAGGGGCTCTGTCCCCTCCAGGCAGCCCCGAGTTGTGCCACGTTCATACCTGTCTCAGCTCCAGGTCAGACAAGTCCCTCTTGCCGCCCCGCGGGCAGTTCTGGAAGTAGCAGGCGGAGGTGAAGGCCAGCAGGCCCAGGAAGCAGGCAGGGAGCATGGTGTCCGGCATCCTGGTGCAGGTGGGCACAGTGTGTGGAGTGTGCTGGGCTGCCTTTGCAGGCTGCCTCTTTATGTCTGCAGGTGCTCCCCCGGAGACGACGTGGCCGCCACCCCCCCTCCCCAGTGACTCCCCAGGAGCCCACGACCGCCAGGCAGTGATTCAGGCATCTGGGGACGCACGTGGACCTGTCTGGGGGGGCGGCTAGGGAGGAGGGGTGCCGGCCTGCAGGCTGTTACTGGCAGCCGCGTGGCTGCCGTGTGACAGGAGCTGCTGCGACCGTGATTGTGGCTCTCTGGACCCGGGGAGAGGGATGGATGGGGGCGGGGGGTCTCACGGAGACCATCCCCAATCTTTCTGGCTGCCCAGAGGAGGCTGGGGGTCAGCGGGCCCGTCCCCAGACACAGCCCCCTGAGAAGGTGGGGAGGGGGGCCCGAGGGGCTGGTGTGCAGGGAGCAGGGTCGGCTCCGGCCCAGGATCGGTGAGACAGAGGACCGTCAGGTGTGCAGAACCCCATCAGGAGGGTTAGTCTCCTGGGGGGGGACACTGCCACCCCCCACCCCACACACACCCAGAGCAGGGTTCAGACCCAGTAGGGTTCAAAGATGGGGGGAAAGCCACCTGCCCCAATTCCTACCCCAACAAGGACCCTAGTTTGTGGGGGCCGGGGCAGGTACCTTCTCGGGCCTAGGGTGGAAGTGGGGGCGAGGGAGCTTTGGTGTTGGGGGGCTGGAGGAGCCACAGCAAACGAGCCCAGCCTGAGAAAGCAGACTTTGGTTCACGACCCCAAGCCGGTGGGATGAAGGGACTAAAGCCTCCCTCTCCTGGGCCACCGCAGAGCCCCTCTGGTCCTTGGACCCAGGCCAGCCACCCTGCTCCTCTCAGGATCTGCTCAGCCCCCGGCTCTCCCAGCCCCAGGCTCTTCGCCTCCTCTCCAGGGTGCCCAAGAAAGCTCTGGGCTGCCTTCTCCCCACCAAGTGCTCTAAGGGGTTTGGCATCCCAGGGAGAGACCTCCCACAGTCCGGACCTGACGCCAGGCTCTTCAGGAACATCCCCTTATGGACTCTGAGGACACCGGAGCCCAGTGGCCTGTCAGTATCTAGCCTCTGTTGCTCAAAACTTCACCACTCGGGCAGGTTACTTGACCTCTTGGTGCCTCACCTTCTCCCAGTGTAGTGTCGGGAAGATACTAACTAGTACCCACCCCCTAGGGTCGTGAGGATTGAAATCATGTAATACATAAGAGCTTTAGGAAAGTTCCTCCACCACTGTAAAGCTAATTAATAGCAGTACTGTATTGTTAATGCCATTATTCTGTTTTTTTTAAAGATTTTATTTATTGATTAGAGAGAGAGAGAGAGCACAAGAGGGGGGTGAGGGGCAGAGGAAGAAGCAGACTCCCCGCTGAGCAGGGAGCCCGACGCGGGGCTCCATCCCGGGACTCCAGGATCATGACCTGAGCCGAAGGCAGATGCTCAACCGACTGAGCCACCCAGGGGCCCTAATGCCATTATTCTTATTAAGAGCTGAAGAGAGGGTGCCTGGGTGGCTCAGTTGGTTAAGCGACTGCCTTCGGCTCAGGTCATGATCCTGGAGTCCCGGGATCGAGTCCCGCATCGGGCTCCCTGCTCGGCAGGGAGTCTGCTTCTCCCTCTGAACCTCCCCCCTCTCATGTGCTCTCTCTCTCTCATTCTCGCTCTCTCAAATAAATAAATAAAATCTTAAAAAAAAAAAAAAAGAGCTGAAGAGAGTCTTCCAGAGAGAATAGCATCCTGGGTTAACCCAGGAGGAACATTCTCATTCCATTCATGGGGCCTGGAGAGAAGCTGGGTCCAAATTGTTGCTCCCTTGTGATTCTTGGTTGTGGTGGAGGCCACAGGCCTAGTTTAGGCCAGCTGTGTGGCCTAACGCCCACCTTCTTGGAACATGCAGGGGCTGGAAAAAGTCTTGTTACTGCGCTGTCATGTCAAATATATCACCTCACATGTCACATGGACCTTTTCAACACCCCACGTTCCTACACTTCCCTCTTTATTAATTAGTCCTACCTGGAAAATACATCTCAAATCTATCTGCTTCCTTTCGCTCCTGCTTTGAAATCTCAGAAAGTGTTGTTTCTTTGTCCTAGAAGCCTCCCTTACCCTCACCCCTCCGTAGGCTTCATTCACCTGGCTTCGGTGAATCGGTGTCCTCTCCTAAGAGGAGACCTCCCTGACTGCCCACCTGGCGCATCCCTCCCTCAGCCCCGCCTCCATTACTTTCTAACTTGAGTCAGTGTTGAAGGGTTAATAGCACCTACTACAACCTGCAGCTCATTTCCTTGTCTGTTTATCTTTTGTGCATGTGTATGGCTGTGTCCCTCCAGAGTGAGACCCCCAGGGCAGAAAGGACTTCATTTTTCTGTTCAGTGCCATAGTCTGGTACGGTGCTTGCCACACAGTGGGTTTTCAATAGGTTATGGAAAGGAGGTGGGGAGGGTGGGAAGCTCTGGGTACCAGCCTCAGCTTTCCCGGGGGTTACTCTGTGACCTTGGGCAAGCCACACCTGTTCCCAAAGTTACTCGCTTAATGTACTAACAACCTCACTTCCTGTCTCAATGAGGGTTTAAGGGAATCAGACCAAGGTGCTATAAAGGTTAAGAGTTTCTGAAATAGCTACAAAACAAAGAGTTGCAAGCCTCCAGGTTAAGCCTCAAATCTCAGAATACTCTTTATTTCCTGACTGTTACACCATCTTTTCTTTCTTTTTTTTAAATTTTATTTGACAGAGAGAGACAGTGAGAGAGGGAACACAAGCAGGGGGAGTGGGAGAGGGAGAAGCGGGCTCCCAAGGAGCAGGGAGCCCGATGTGGGGCTCGATCCCAGGACCCTGGGATCATGACCTGAGCCGAAGGCAGACGCCGAACGACTGAGCCACCCAGGCGCCTCTTGACCATCTCTTCTGAGAGCAGGTAACAGTTAACTGCCCCGGGGGTCCATCCGTTCCTCTTTCTCGTTCTCCTTTTCTCAGGATCAATCCAGAGCCCGCACCACATGACAGGCACACAGCCTGTCGGAAGGGGGTTGACCTCACTTTCAAAGGGCCTCTGTGGCCACAGTTAAGTCCACCTTTCGCTCTCCTCACTGTGGTCCACCAGTGACACTTGAGGACCCTCGGCAGTGTAGACACACAAATGCTCTGTCTACTGTGAAGAGGTGAACTGCAGGGAGCAAAGTTGTAGGATCCCCCCAAACTGCTCACTGAATTGAATCAAAGAGGATCCACCGAGCAAGGATCACAAGCATGAGAAAATGCTGGGCTTTAGGCAGACAGGCCCCGAGCTGAGATGGGTCCACACCAGGAGCGAGAAACGGCAAACCTTGGCTTCCTCGTCTCACGTCTCTCGGGGGGAGCTCAAAGTGAAGGTTCATCGGATCTCGACAGGGGGTTACGTTAAGCTTCAAAGGATCAGAAATGAAAAGGCCTCATAACAGGTCTTACTTGCAAAAACAATCTAAATAAAAAGCAAAATAAACCGGGACACATAGTTTTGACCCTCTCTTCAGTGTTAAACACCTGTAAGCGGCAGGATGGGTGGAGTCGCCTCTGGGGACTCCCAGCTGTGGCTGGAACCCCGGGCGCCCTGGCCTGGTGTCCCTGCTGGGCTGGGCCCTGTGGCTGCCCCCTCCCCCGCGGCCCCCTGAGCCCGATCCCCCCCCACCCCCCGCCACGCAGCCCAGGGGAAGGGCCAGGCCTCCTGGGCGGCGGGAGCGGGCGCCCAGGCCCCAAGGAAAGACAGGAAGAGGCTGCGAGGGCCTCGGGGACCGGCGGCGCCGCCGGGAGCCGTGCCCTGACTGCGGAGAGCCGCATGAGCGCATGAGCGCAGCGCCCGCGTCACTCGCCGTCCCTGGGGGCCCGGCCCGTGCTCCCGCCCCGGAAAGGGGCGCACCCCAGCGCCTGGGCCCCCGTGGGAGAGCGGCGCCGGGAAGTCTTCTCGAATATTCCTTTGGAGCCTGTAGTTTGGGGACTGAAGGTCAAATGGGGAGTCCTGGGAAGAAGGCCGGGGAGGGCACACCTGGCTGGATAAGGTGTGAAGAGGCAGGATGTTTGTGTGTGTGTCTGCGTGTGTGTGTGTGTGTCTGTGTCTGTGTCTGTGTCTGTGTGTGTGTGTGTGTGTGTCTGTGTGTGTGTGTGTGTGTGTG